GTTGTCATGATTCCCAGCATCAGACAGTGGACTTGGTACATTCTCAAACGTTTCGCCGGCATCACAGTCGGCCATTCGCCGCACTTGTCTCTTTGACGAGTTCGTAGTTTGGTGCCGAGAATCATGACAACTACTATGGCAGACAACTTCGGACTAAATGCGTTTTACTAAGCCGCCCTGACAACAAGACCAAGTTGAGACAACGAAGTTAACCCACTTCTATAAATAGTAAGGAGACTGCGACCATACCAGAGGCCACAACATTTTGGTCTTCATTTCTTCAATTCCTCATTTAGCCTAGACTGTAGTCTCTATCTGTACAGGGTTTTAAACTTTGTCATGCGATTTAATGAAACATGTTACTACACAGCAACCTATTCAAGAGCGTTAATGGATTTCAGGTTAGATATTACTTTATAGGTGGGATCGTGCTTCGTTTAACCATATTTAAAGTAGTATTTTCGAATAAGTAAGCATCTATTTGCCTTTGAAATCGACGATATTACTTGTATACTGTGTGAGTATTCGCTAAACTATCAGTATTTCTTGAATAGACACATAATCACTGACTAATAGTACACAAACTTATATGTGCAATGGGGCTGCTGACAAAACCCGGGAGAGGTAGAAACTCCATCCCATTATTAAAAAGAAATTTTTTTGGGTAAATATGGCTAAGTTAACTTTAATGACATCGCGAAGCCTACTCAAACCGTTGTGGGAAAAACTCCACCATCAGTCTCTAAATCCCTTTAATCAGTCTAGCTTGACTAAGTTCTCATTCAAGAGTGAGATGTTCGCTTTATCTGCTTCTGAGGTAGCTGGGGTGTCAAAAAAGCCTGCAGAGGGTATATTCTAAAAACTCAATGACCTCAAAAACCATGAGGATAAGACCCACGAGTGTCTGAACTCGCCTACTGAACGGAAAAGCTTCCTAAACTAAGATGAAGAAGTAAGCCGTTGGGGATTATTCTGCTGCCATATGCAAAGGTTTTTCTGTATACTGAAATTTGCTTTAATTCCCAATTAAATGTAAACAAGACGGCTTAAATTTTGGCCCAAATCGTCTCATCCTCCAGCCTTCCATTCATTCATTCATTCGGAAAGAGCTCTTTTTTCGGCCATTAAGAGATGCTGATAATGCAGCTTGCCTCGAGAGCTCTGCCTCTCTGCTCTCAGACATTTAAAGTTTGGTGTCTCATTTTGACCGGTTTCGACGAGTAACTATCCTTTTGCCCTTACCACCATGTCTGAAAGCAGCGTATTCACAAAGCTGGGAACCGTGGCGCCCGATGAGAAATGGGTTGACGTGACCGACCAGAAACGCCCGGGTCCCAGTGATGATGCCTATTACGGGATTTCTCGACTCTCCGACGGCCAAGGCAACTACACACCAGCCGGCAGTACTGGCGGAGAGCCGGCCAGGCCAGGCTCCGCTGCCGCCGGGGTCAGTGATGAGGCCGGCTCGGCGGACTCGGCCGGTGAGCAGGTCAACTTCTACCAGCAGCGACTGCCGCTGAGGCGAGCCGGCTTCTTTCTGGCCGTCAAGGACGCCGGCTCCTGTTCCACCATACAGCGCATCCAAATAACCTACCTGGCCTGCTCCGAGTTGCGTCAGTACTTCATTCTGTATCCGCGCACAGTGACCGGTCGTCAGGTCTACGACATCCGCACCGTCGAAGGACGTTGTCTGCCGGGTGCGAGCCTACGCGCCGGCGCCAAAGCACCTCAGCGCATCTGCCAGGCCAACGGTCACTGGAACAGTCGCAACAGTCCGGGCCTCGAGCCGCCGCGAGGAGAAGAGGCTGGAGGCAGAAGACAGGCGGCAAGTCGCCGAGTCGAGGCTCGTCGACATGCTACAGATCTGAGAGCCGGTGAAGGAGGCGAGCGCGAGGCTGGCAGAACGGTGGCTGAGGCGAAAGTGGGAAAAGGAGCTGGAATCGCGCCACGACATGAACCTGGGCACGATGAAGCGCTCGCCTGTCAGTGTCTTCCAGGCTATGGTTCACTGAGAGATGCACGTGGTATTGGTGTGGCCTGTCAGGGTGAGAATCGAAAGTCATAAGGAATTCTGTTAAAACAAATTTGGATTTATAGGAATCTCTTGCTTCATAATTGTTGAGCTTACTTGCATTTCGAGTGAAAGTGTTGCGTGAAGAGTTTCGAAGGTCGCTTCCACCAGAAGACGACGGCGGATCCCTCTTGACCAGCTGTCAATTGGCTTTACTGTATCCGAGGCAATCTCCTTCGAATCCGGTGTAAAGGTGCTAAGATTTCGTCCGTCACATGACGAACATCATCAGAGCAAGGTGTCATTCGTATTAGAGAAGGGTTTCGAGACTACCAGTAAATCCGTGTAATGAGATGTATTCACCCTATTTCGTGTAAGGTGATGAAG